AAATAACTGTAAACACTATAATATTACTGTCAACAACATCAATATTATTATTTTTTTGGGTTTTTTGTTTTGTTTGAGTTATTCACGGAGTAACTTAATAATATTACTGTCTGTTATTGTAATAATACTGTAAACACAATAATATTACTGTGGTTGACGGTAATATTACTGTTGTTATAGTAATATTGCTGTGAACCACATCAATATTATTATTTTGTTTGGATTTTTTTGTTTGTTTGAGTTATTCACGGAGTAACGTAATAATATTACTGTCTATTATTGTAATATTACTGCGGTTGACGATAATATTACTGTTGTTATAGTAATATTACTGTCAGTCACAGTAATATTAATTCTTTTGGCTTTTTATTATGTTTACATTTATTGAACGGTCAACATAGTAATATTACTATATTACACAATAATAATGAGTTTTGTTGTGTTAATATTACTGTGCTAGAAATTAATATAGCAATATTACTGTGTTAAACTGTAGTTTAGTTATTTTTACTGTGTTTAACAGTAATATAGTTAATATTATTGTCAATCACAACAATATTGATGTTTAAACAAAAAAATGTTACAGAAAAAAAAAATTTGAAAATTCAACATCGAAATCCGGCGGCAAAAAAAACAAAATTTTGAATGTTTTTTTTTGGTTAAAATTAAATAATTTGTTAAATTTGGGATCAAATTGAGGTTAATTTAAATTAAGAATGAAATTGGAGCATATTAAAGTGTGAGAGACTATTTTAGTCTTTTACAAAAAATTGAAACATGTGTGGACTTATTGGTAAAAAATGATTTATCTAGATCTCTGTATAAATAAATACATATTGATGATTTTATTTGTAATGACCCCTATACAAAAAGTAAAAAACAACAGCTATTTAGAAAGGAAGGGAGTTCGGAATACGGATAACAAAAAATACCAACCATGTATTTATTTTGAAAATTGATCCAATTACCTTTATTGTATGTTTGAATAAAGTTAAACCTTGACAATGTGCTTGATGCCTCTTTCTCGAGACTCAAAAAGAATTTCCACACATTTGTCAACGACCTGCAAATATATTTAATTGGAATGTATTTAATCAAGAAGACAACAAGTCGTGCTTATCTTGAACTCTACGTTATTATTAATTGTTAAATATTACTAGAACAAACACCATGTTTAAAATCACCAACTGAGTCGGCAGTAGGAAAATTATTACTCATTGAACAACTATTAATTTTATAATTAGTCATTACAAAAAATCTAATATATATATACTAGACAATAACTGCTTTTTTTTTTTTTAATTATTTTTGTTATATTTTATCTGTCATTTTACACTTTCAATAAATTAAATGTATTTCTCCTGTTTTAATTTTATTAACTCAACTCTAAGTATTAATTATCTCCTATAATAATTAATGATAAAGGTTGTTTTAGTCATTTTTTTTATGTATTTTTCCTAAAATTAAGGCATATTTATTAAGTTTTTTTTTTTTAGTAAATTCAAGTCCATTACAGAAGAAGTAGGAGAGGGGTACTCAAACCCGAGACCGTTACCTTATTTGTAAAAGTTAGATATCAACTCCTCTAATGAGGATTAGTGAGTTTCTTAATATTTGTGAAAATTGAGCATATAGACTTATTTAAGAACGGATGGAGTATTTCAATTCTAACATATTTTAAGATGTTTGCAACCAAAACTTCCATTTGCAAAATTAAAATATAATCTGTAAATAATACTTATCCCCTGTATTTTTGATTTATTATGCATGATCCTCTTATACTTTTAATATAGCACGCGGCTCCCTAATATATTAATATAAGCATATAACTCCATTTTATGCTGCCAAAAATTTTCACTTTTTAATGAATATAATTATTTAGGAGGTTATTTGTACAAAGTTCAAATTACAAGAAAATCATGTATTTATATTGAAAGTATAAGAGGATTATATGCACAAAGTCCAAATTACAAGGAGTTAGATGCAAATTAAAAAACATAGCTATGATTTTCACGCATATTCCGACCAAGGAAAAGGATTAGCGTGGGAAAAGCTGAGCCGTTTAAAACAAAATCGAAATCATCCAAAACATCTCAATTATAAATTTATAATCCCATACACATGTGGACCACCGTAAGCTGTTGGAACTTCATTCCGCCGTTGAACATCTCTATTTAAAAATTGTTACCTTTTATTTAATTTGATGGAATTATTTTCATACACATTTTGGACAATAGTAGTTCGTAGAAATGCAAATGATGCACACAATATCTAATGTCACAAAAATAAATAATTTTTTTTTCTATTCATTTTCAATTACACTTGAATGGTGCAAGTTTCTAGAAGAAGCGTAGATTTTGTGGTTCGATTATTTAATATTTATATTCAGTGACGGAGCTAGTATTAAGCCAATAAAAGGTGTATTTTATTTAGAGGTTTATTAATATCACGGCCCACCAATTTTTTTTAGTGCATGTCGGTCTTTCGTTGGAAATAAAATCTTCATTTCGGTGGTGCTCACATTAAAAATTATGGGGATATTAGTGCTCTCAACACATTATATTAGATATAATAAGTTTGAATCTATATCTTTATTTTGTTAGTGAAAACCCCTTTAATTATTAAATTGAACATTTATTAAATTACTACCCAATATACCTTATTTGCTCCCGAAATTCTATTTTTTTCCACGGAATGTCCTCTCTTTTCTCTCCACAAATAGCCGCCATCGAAGAATTAACTCCAACCGCTTTCTTTTGCGTCTGCGTTGACACGCTCTGCTTGATCGGCGGTCGAAATGGACAAGAATAGAAAATTCTATATTCGGATTGCACCCGTGGGTAGTAATCGGAATAGTCGTCGGAGCAGTGATTGTGCTCATCCTCTTCCTATTATCTCTCTACATCTCCACCTTCCCCCGCCACAGTAGTAGACGCAACAAGAATAAAACTAACCTTCCAGCGAGAGATTACTCTCGTCCTAACAAAAAAAAATGCACGATTTGGCAACGATCAAGATAAAATTGAGTGGAATTTGATTTGGATTGGGAATTGCGAGGACGAGTTTACAAACATGGGGTTGTTTCCATTCTCACAACGATATACTTATTTTCGTTATTTTGTTGGTTGCTTAAAAAAGATGCTTAACCAACAATTTGAAATTGCCTTATATCTATTACTTGGATCGGTTCATGATCAACGATTAATTTGTCGGTGATTAACCGACTTTGGACCGGTCCGCGATCTAACTGCCAGATATAGAAAAAAAATGCCTAATAGTAGTGAATTAGGAATCCATAACCATATGATATCCAATTTGTTATGAAAGATATAGGTCAAATTTTTTATTGCAGAATAAATAGAAAAAATAGCTAAATATGTTTGTTTTTTTTTAAATCGGTGTTTTTTTTTTAAAAAAAAGAAAATCAAAAAGAATAGTTACTAGTACTCTAATTCCCGGTCTCGAACCAATGATAGGATTGTTCAAATGTCTTCCGATAATTTAAATTCTCAACAATAATAGGATTGTAAATATGTTTGTCATCTTAGGATGTTTGAACTACCGGAAGAAATTTAAGAAAAAAAAAATGAAGAAACTCAAAATGACAAAAACAAAAAGGTTTTATTCAGAAAATTAAAAAAAAAATCTAAGCAATTTGATGTTTTGAAGAAAAAAATATAAATACCAAAATTTTCAACGTAAAATTGACTGAAAATGGTACAAATATATAGTGAAAAATGGCTCAAACTTTATATATATATATATATATATATATATATATATATATATATATATATGCTTGAGTAGGGGTATTTTCGTCATATTTTGAAAAATATGTAATGTGAGAGGGGTTTTTGTATTTATATGTAGTAACAGGGGTATATAATACAAAACTGATAGGTACAGGGGTGTTTTTGTATATAACATAAAAAGAAAAAAAAAAAGAAAAAGGAAAGAAGAGAAATGAAGTAGGGGAGAGAACATGTCGGCAGAAAATTATTAGTTATCCAAAATACAAAAGTGGCGGCGGCGAGTTACCGATTCAGCCACCATAACTCAGTGCCGCCGCCCCTGTCTTCATCCTCAATCCAACTAACTAAATTAATTTCACACATGCAGCAGTCTTTCTTTTTTGTCATGTTTATAAATTAGTTGATAAATTATAATTTGCACAAAGTCTTCATACTAATGCATGTATCCAGTTAAACACATACTTATTAGTTTAACACATGGAACGAATATTCGATCAATTCATTTATCCAGTTTTTTATTTTTCTTAAATCTCAGAGCTAATAAATTGTATTTTTTAATTTTTCAGATGACATCATTATATTTATTATTTACATATCCGGGCTTGAATTTTTTTTTTTTTAATTAATTTAGCGAAATATTAAATTATCCAACTAAAAATTCAGCACGTTTTTCCGAGGCGGGACATGAAGAAATTATAATTTAAACGAGATTATTAATTTATCGCGATGTTCTACAATGTCTGATGGTAAACAAAACATTTATTATAATTATTTGAAAACTTAAAGGGCTAAATTCAATTACTAAATACATATTATTCATTCGATCTCATATTTTTTTTTTATAAATTCACTCATATTAATTTTAGATTTAATACTAGCAGGGTGTTGTGTAAATTGTCTCCAGTCGTCACAATCAGCTCATGAGCATCCGATTCGCTAATCGAACTTTACAAAAAAATCAAGTTTTATGTCGACCTCGAGTCGATTTATAATTGTTCATAACCTCGTGAGTGTTTACCTTTTCTTCAAAAAATAAAAATAAAAAGATACATGTAATATTATAAATAAGCACATATATTATATATATAATATCATCACACATTATTAAGCATCGACATGATAATAGAATTATTAAAGACATTTTATGAAATATTGTACGATAAATTAATTAACTTAAAACTTCTACTTTCCCCCAATAATAATAATAATAATAATAATAACAATAACAATAATAAATAATATGGGACCCACTAATATTTTTTATTTTTTCTTTACCAAAATTCCAATTAACCCTTCCACTCCCATATATAAGCCAACTCTTTCCCCAAAACCCAGAAAAAAAAAAAATTGAAGGAATTTTAGAGAATATATATATATTGAAACCCAGAAACAATAAATTAAATTCTGAATTAAATTCAGAATTAAAATGGAAGGGATTTGCTGTACGACGTCGTCTAACTCATCGTCAAGCACAGAAAACCCTAGTAAGAGAAAGCAAAGGCAGCCGGACAAACCCTACAGAGGTATAAGGATGAGGAAGTGGGGCAAGTGGGTAGCCGAGATAAGGGAGCCGAACAAGCGCTCGCGAATCTGGCTCGGCTCCTACTCCTCCCCCGTCGCGGCGGCGCGTGCCTACGACACCGCCGTTTTCTACCTCCGCGGCCCCTCCGCCCGCCTCAACTTCCCCGACTGCGCCATCGAAGACGGCGGCGGCGGCGGCCTCAGCGATCTCTCCGCCGCCGCCATCAGGAAGAAGGCCACCGAGGTTGGCGCTAGGGTCGACGCGCTGCAAGCCGCCGACCGCCCCCGGCCCGACTCCAACAACCCGGGCCGGGTCTACGATAAACCCGATTTGAATGAGTACCCTACCCCTGAAACTTCGGAGGATAACTGAAATTACTTCCACTATGGTCCGTTAATTTTGTTTTATTTATTTTAGAATATGTTAATTTTGATTTTTTTTAAAAGTTAAATGTATTTTGCAGCAGAGATGTATAAAACTGTACATCTGGAGGATAAATTAATTAATTTATGGCTTTGTCTCTGTTACAAAATTATTACTTATAATTAATTACAAAAATTCTAGTGGGGAATTACAAAATTATTACATATAATTATATAATATTTTAGAATGTTAATTTTGATTTTTTTTGTTTTTCTAAAGTTAAATGTATTTTGCAGCAGAGATGTATAAAAACTGTACATCTGGAGGATAATTAATTTATGGCTTTGTCTCTGTTACAAAATTATTACTTATAATTAATTATAAAAATTCTAGTGTGGAATTACAAAATTATTCCATATAATTATATATAGTTTAGAATGTTGATTTTGATTTATTTTTTTTGGGATTTTCTAAATTTAAATGTATTTTTGCAGCAGAGATGTATAAAACTGTACATCTGTAGGATAATTAAATTAATTTATGGATTTGTCTCTGTCACAAAATTATTACATATAATTAATTATAAAAAAAAATTCTAGTGGGGGATTACAAAATTATTACATATAATTATATATTTTAATTCTTTCCAAATAGTATTTTGATTAGTGTTCATGTTTAGGTTTGGTCTAACTATCTAACTGTTACATTGAATAAATATACCTGTAGTGTTGATTCAACTAATTAAAATTGATTTAATATCAAATTAACATAGTAATTGGTTTTTAATTAGTTATTTTAAGGAGAGAGATGATAAAGAAGAAGATAAGGTAGGGAGAGTTTGGGTGTCCAAACAGGGTACTTTGTGTCACATCGAAATTATTCAACAAAAAATAAAGAAATAAATAAAATAATCAAACAATTAATTAATTAAAAATAAATATGAAATAAAGATTAGTGGCTAGTGGGGTGGTGAGTGGTGTGGTGAATGATGGGCAGGTGGGCGGTGCTTATTATTTTCATATGTTACTCTCATTATTCAATTATTATTATACTAATTATTAGTACTAATTAATATGAAATGGTATGATTGAATTTGTACAAATTTATTGAAGACTGTTGTTGTCCAAAAACAAAGAAACATGTCTCTTGTGTCTTGTAATTAGTTATTTTATGTTCCGCGCTGATTTGTACAACTTAGTTATGTTAATAAATAATAAATTAGTTATATAAATAAGCAATAATTTAGTTAAAACTAAACTAACAATAAATTAAAATAAGAATGGATACACTCATAATGCATACACTTTGCAGTAAGTAGTAAGTAATAAGTTAGTTATATAAATAAGCAACAGCTTAGTTAAAAATAAACTAACAACAAATTAAAACAATAATGGATACACTCATAATGCATACACACTTTACACAAACAACTTATAGAATTTATTTACAAAGGTTAGTTACATTAATGAGCAAACATTTAGAAAAGAACACGTATTTCATATAATTTTATTATGAAGTTAGATGTTTAGAAAACTTATTTGCGGCCTAGTTAAACAACATAGTTAAAATAAAATGAAAGAAAAAAACTTAAACCTCTGGTGCGTATACACCACCAACATTACCATCTGCCATCACCAAACAATTCTTCATATTTTTCCTTTTTGGTTTCCATAATTATTAGGTTACAACGAATGAAAGGGGAGTAACCAAAACCGTGTGTATGTGCGTGTGGGTGATTACGTATGTGTGTGTGCATGTGTGTCGAGCTTCGACGATGGTAGCGGCAGAGAGCACAGATGGACCAAATTTGATGGAGTGACGTGGGGTTGGACAGATCTGACGGAGTGAAATCGGTATTAAATGAATTTGACGAGATGGAGATGAGATGAAGAACAAATGACGTTTAAATCAAGATCCGCCTGTTCTAGTTTAACAGATAAATATAAATTGTATTTTATCAAAATACAAACAAATTTTATTTTATTTTAAAACATTTTTCCCGAAAATAAAATGAAAATAAACCCCAAAAACTTACCAAACGTAGCCATAATTCTCTCTGAACATAACAACAATGACAATAATAAATAATTATAGTACCATTTAATATTGTAATTTATTAATATTTTTCTTGTTTTGTTTATGTTATGGAAGAACATAAATAAAGATTAGGTCAAATATGAGGTTCATGACATGTTTATAAACAAGTACAATATGTGTGATCTTTGTGTCCATGAGGGGACCAATCATGAAACATAGACATTGTTTGGGCAATTCTCTGTTTTTATATTTATGCTTTCTTTTGTGGCAAAATATATTATGCAACTAACTGCCAACTGTACTCCAACAAGTTCTTGACTTAGGTTTTAATTTACTTCATTTCCTTTTCTTTTTTTTTGACTGATCCAAGTTGCCAAATTGATCAAAATATCAAACAACTTAATTTCTTGAGAAGAGGAAGTTTTCATTTTTTTTTTATTTTTTTTTATAAACATAAAAATACGAACTAATTTACTTAAAATAATATATAGAGAGGTAATTAAGTTCGGCCAACATCTAATTGGTAAACGAGCCAAGCCGACTCGTAAGCTCGATGAGCAGGCTCGCAGAAAACTCGAACTTGAGCTTTCTAATCAGTCGTGCTCAAGCATTTTCTTAGTTGTTCGCAAACTCACGAACTGACTTGCGATCCTTCTTTATTAATTTTTATATATTATTTTTTCTTTAAATAATATATAATAATATAAAATATTATAATAATAGCGTATAAAAAGAACATATAAAAATTAGAAAATATATAATTACAGTTTATTTTTTATTTTATAAATTTTTATTATAATATAAATAATTTTTAATAATAAAATTAATCATAATAATTAAAAACAACAACAAAATGAACTTCGACTGGAGCTCGAGCTCGAGATAAAAAAAAAATACTCAAAGAGCTCAATGTTGACAAAATGAACTCGAGCTCTTACTCGAGCCTTTCAAAACAACCGACCTCGGCGCTCGTCCAGTTCACACCCGTGATCACAACCCATTGTGCATACCTGATTAGTATTTTCTACCTTATTGCAAAGTAAACTAATTACATTAATTTATTTTCAATGTAAACTAATTACATTAATTTATTTTCGAGTTATCTTTTCTAATGATGTATAACTAGTCAAACTACTAATTAGCAAAGTCTTTTTTAATTGATAAAATTATCATTTTTAATTGATAAATTATAATTGTTACTTGAACAATAATTCAACGTAGCTTATTTGATATTCGAACAACATTCCGATAATTATTTTCAAAACAATAATCTGAAAATTAACAAAATTGTATTTTAAAAATATAGATTATGATTTAAAAGTCTGATTCAGTCGAAGAACAGCTATTATTTATGGAGAGGTTGGATTAAGTAGCTGAGATCTTCAGTAAAGGTGTGGTCGGTTGTTCAGAAATCCCATCAAGAATCAGATTTTTCACTAATTTATGCACTTTTTTTTTTCTTTTTCTTATTTTATAATTTGTTTAGTTTTTTTATAAGGGTAAATTACAAACACCCCTGAGGTATGGTCAAATTACAAAAACACCCCTCTTGTTTGGATAATTACAACCACCCCCTCAACTCCTCAAATTTAGTGAAATCTTCGAGATTATATGGAATATTATCACTTTTGTACCTGTTTTATCTCATTCAAATTCTACATTATGAAGCAAGATGATCATAATATGTGATTTTTAGCCTGTATATATATCAGTTTTTGTTGCATCGGAAACTGTAATTTTACACAAAACGAGTACAAATAGAGCAAATTTCACGTAATCTAGATGATTATGTTGAATTTGGCACCATAAGGGTGGATGTGTAAGAAAAAATCATAATTGAGGGGAGTAGATGTAATTATCCAAACAAGAGGGGGGTTTTTGTAATTTGACCATACCTCAGGGGGCTGTTTGTAATTTACCCTTTTTATAATTAATCTATGCACTCTACTTGTAACAAAAAGCAGCTTTATTGTTAGAATCATAGCAATATTTAACTATGTCATACAGTCGGTCCAATAAAATTAAATAATCGATTTAAGATATTGGATTACCCATATTAATGATGTCTTAAAGTTGGATTAATTAAATGAAAGCATATCAATAAATTTAAGTACAATACAAAAATCAGTGGCGAAACCAGAATTTCATCATTGGAGACGAATATGCATAGAAAAATAACGTAAAGAAACTAATGACAACAGTAAAACTCTTAAAGATAAAATTTATAAGAATTATTAGAGATGAAGAGTGTTAAACAATTTGAATAACGAAAACGAGCAATAAACCGAAAACGAGACAATTTTTTTGCAGAACGAAACAATAATAAGATATTACAAATCCTAGGATAAATGAACTATATATAACTAGCGATTACTAATTAAACCGAATAGTATCGGACTACCTTAACCTAATATTATCTATTATAAAATACATATAACTATATAATATCATAATAAATAGTAAATATATAATGTTAAAAAATAATTATAAAAAAAAAAAAACCCAACTATATTTTGATTTTAATATTGAAATTGAAAGATAGAAGCTTGTTAAATTATACTGATATGCTAAATCTCACATCAATTTTACCAAATTATACACACAATTGAAATTTTTTCTCTCTCTAAAATCTCATTTTTTCCTTCCTCACCCTTCTTCTTTTTCCTTATTTTTTCACAAAATCACACACTAAAAACATCCATATCATTCCAAGTTCGAATTTGAGAAAAATCTTCATGTGTTCAAACTAAAATAAAGTTGGAATTTGAGAAAAAAATTCGAATCGATATGAATTTAATTAATTGAAAAGGCATAATGAAATTGAAAAATATTAAATAAACCTAAACTCACTTTTTATGATTATTCACGTGAAAGATTAACGAATTTTGAGTGACTTGGAAAAATCATCATAGAGAAAAGTTAGAGAAAATATAAGTAGAGAGAGAATTTTTTTGTTTAATTTATGTGTGGAATTTAGTAAATTTTAATGTGGGATTTAGCATGCCCCTAAATTATATCTGTGTTTACTCAAATTGGAGAAGTTAAGCGAATTATTTTTCTTGTAAGTTTATAAATAAATTATAATTGGAGTGTATTTGAAGATTTTCTTACTTTTA